AGCGCTGAATAGAAAATATATTCTTTGGTGTCTGGGTGGAATATTTGGTAGATGTCTGTTAGGCCCATTTGATGTATGGTTTTGTTTAATTCAGATGTATCTCTGTTAATTCTCTGTCCTGTTGTCCTATCTAGTGAAGACAATGGGATATTCAAGTCCCCTATGATCAATGAGTTGGGATTAATCTGGGTCTTAAAGTCCTGTAGTACTGTTTTTATGAAGTTGGGTGTACCCACATTTGGTGAATATATGTTCTCAATTGTAATATCTTCTTGGTCTATGGTTCTTTTGATCAGAATGAAGTGGCCTTCTTTATCTCTTCTGATTATTTTTTAGTTTAAAGTCTGTTTTGTCAGGTATTAGAATTGCAATGTCTAATTTTTTTCTTAGTACCATTCACTTCATATATTTTTTTCTATCCTTTCACCTTAAGGTAGTACCTGTCATTGAAAATGAGATTAGTTTCTTGCAGACAACAAACAGATGGGTTTTGTTTCTTAATCCATTTAACTAGTCTGTGTCTTTTGACTGGAGAGTTCAGTCCATTGATCTTTAAAGTTATTAATGAAAGATGTGTATTGATTCCTGTCATTTTTATTTCTGTTCATATTCTTGGTGTAGCTGTGTATTTCCATAGTTACACCTTTATTAAGTTTCTTTCTGTAACCCCTTGGGTATAGTCATTCGTTTCTTCAGCTCTTTGTATTGCTTCAAGAACTCTCTGAAAGACTGGTTTTGTGGACATGAATTCTTTCAGCCTATTTGTGTCATGGAAGATTTTTCTTTCCCCTTCAACTACAATAGACATTTTGTCTAGGGAAAGTAATCTGAGTTCATGTCTGTGGTCATTTAGAACTGGGAATACTTTGGTCCAGGGTCTTCTGCACTGAAAACTCAGCTGTAATTCTGATGGGTTTTCCTTTATATGTGACTTGTTGTTTCTTTTGCAGCTTTCAGAATTATCTTTTGTTCTGTAGGTTTAGTGTTTTTAGTATGATGTGCTGTGGAGAGTTTCTTTTCTGGTCCTGTCTATTTGGTGTTCTTTATGTTTCTTGTATTTGTATGGGCATGTCTTTCATTAATTTTGGGAAATTTTCTTCTACAGTCCTGTTGAAGATCTTGTCCCTACCATTATCCTGAGATTCTTCTCCTTCCTGTATGCCTAAGATTCATATGTTTGGTCTTTTTATGATGTCACACAATTCCTGCATGTTCCATTCTTGTGTTTTTTTCATAATCTTTGCTTGAGTGGTCTAATTCATCCAGTTCATCTTTCAGTCTTGATACTCTGTTTTCCATTTCACTCATCCTATTGGTAAGACTTTCTTCTGTAGTTTCTAATTGGCTGAGTATTTCATTTCCTTCTTCATTTAAGCCTGAGCATTCTTCAATATTTCTCTTTTCTGACTTCATTCAGAAGTTTATCTCTATCTTCTTTCAGTTCTTTGATTTCTTTGTGTCTTCTTTAAATTCACTGAATTCTTTTATCGTATTTATAATTGTTCTTTTGAGTTCCATGTCCTGTGCTATCTCTAGGGGGTTCTTATTGTACTCCTCTCGAGGACTGTTAGTACTTGGTGCGGATATTTTGGTTTTTTTCATGTTATTTTTTCCTGTGACTTTGACATGTGGATTTCTTTTGTACTTTCTGATTCCTGTGTGAGACTCAAGTCTTCCTTTGTTGGGTTTTGATCTACTTTTTGTAAACTTTATATGCCTTTGTGATTTACTTGTTGGGCATGAGAGACTGATGCAAAAGGACCACAAGGTCAGGGTCACCCTCATCATCACACTTTAAACAAACAGTAACTTATTTGTTAATTGCTTTGTGGTACCTTTAGAAATAAAATCTGAAGCCCAAAGACCTCCACAGATACTGCACAAAGAACATGTGGACACAGTTGGGAGTAACTGAGCAAATTGCTTTTCCTTTTCCAAAAGGGAGTGTTGTATTGTCATTCAGATCTAGCAACTGCACCTGAGTAGACATTTGATAGATTTTTGCTGCTATGTGAAAATGCTGTGCATTTTCCCCTTGGCTAGGGTTCAGTTCTACAGGCTTTTGCAGTTGCTTAGTTTTAAAAGAATTAGTGCAAAGGAAATTAAGAATTGGGGAAGCAGTTGGAATGAAGCGCCTAGGTATCCCAAGCCATTGAGTTCTTGGAATGTAGTAGGGCTTTTGCATAAACCAAAATTTTACATTGTGTGTAAGGGGAACAGGATTAGTAGATTTGAGTTTCTTCTCCTAAACCAAAGTTTTAAAGTCCTAATCCAACGTTTTAGTGTTTCTTACCATAATGACATGTTTCTATTTAAAATTTATGCATGCATCATAAAGGGATTAAAATATCTTGTGTGTGTTTTATTAAACAGGGTCACACCTGTGTACAGCACTTCTGTTTTTGGTTGAGTTGTGACAATTCCTAAACCTAAAATAACTTGTTTATTTTAGTACCTGTTTTTCTAGTTTCTTGATCTCCCCACCTTCATAGCTGATTCTGTAGACAGGCCCCAAGCTAACAGACTCCTCCTTCCCTTCCCTCAGCAGCAGCAATCAGAGACAGCCTGATTGTGAGCACCTATCTATAAGCTAGCATAGAACATCCCCTTCTGCAAGCTGTATGAAGGGACTACCACTATTCCACGTGGGCGTAAACTCTCCTCAGAGCCCCCATCATGCTCCTTTCTGCTTGTCTGTGGCAGCAATAAGTCTTCTGGTAAATCTCTTTCCCAAAAAGACAATCTGCCGTAGTATCCCCCTTGAACCCTATCTTGAGAATTTATGTGATTGGACTTTCACAGTAGGTTTTTAAACCTTTAAAATTTTTGGAGCAGTTTTTCAATTGAAGGCTCCAGTGTGAAACTGATATATGCAGAGGTGCTTTTCTTGTGTTAGGCAGGAATTGACAAGCACACCCTGACTAAGGGACACACTGTTTCAGATACTTAGACTGGGTGGCTGCTCTTATTATGTGTGTCAGTCCAACAATAGAGGAATTATGGATCAGATGCCATGGAATAACCATGTCAGAAGCTGGGCTACAAAGGCAAATGAGCTGTGGTCCCATTTTCAGGAAAACCTATCTTAAGAAGCTGACTTAAAAGTGACTGACTTGGTATATCTATCTGTACAATGTGCAAGTACAGATGCTGTTATGGAAAAATTCTTAGAACAGCTATGAGATCAAGCATATTACCTAGGAGAGAGTTGGATAGCTTGTGGTCCCAGAATTAACAACAAAATCTTTAAGAATTTCTGTGTCAACAACACAGTACAAGAGTGGTTATTATAGATTTAACACAATCATCATTTTATGGTTGGCACCTGGGCCCTGTGTTTCTTTTCATGATGGGCCATGTTATCTCAGGAAAAATTCCTTTCTGTGTTCACCCAGGCCTCCTAGCTTACAAAGTAGATATCCCAGGCATGGGACAGGACATTTGTCACCTTTTGATGTATAGCTAGGCTACACTAATTGGGCTAGGAATCAGTCAAATGGTCATTGCAGTTTACAGAAACAGACATAACAGACAGAAGTTTAGATATCTGTCACATTTGATCTATACTTTCTTAGACTAATAGGACCAGGTGCCTTATTAGATCATTTGGGGAAATTTTTATTTTATTAATTACATTCTTTTTTAATAGTAGACATCATGAATGGAAAGCATCACATAGCTTCAAGATATTATAGAGTAATAAAACATCTCAGTGTAGTAAAGACATCACTGAGTAGTAAAACATCACAGAGTTGCATTTGAAGATCTACCTCATAAATAAAACAAGAGGAAAGTTCAGTTGGCCTAAACTTAAAGGACATTATATGAAAATACAGTTTGGCTATAAAAATAATATAACTTCTCCTGATCAATCAAGTTATTCAAAGAACAGAAGGAGGCTCCTTGCCTGGATCAGGAAGGGAAGGAGTCAGAAAAGCTTCTGAAGGGCTTTCCTGAGTAGTGTTGAAGGACAGTAGGAGTTTGTCAGTTAAATAAAGCACTGCAGGTATCCTAGTTTGCTTTTTGTTGTAACAAACACTGTGACCAAAAACAACTTGGAAAAGAAAGGGTTTATTTCATCTTAAAGGCTACAGTCTGTCTTTGAGAGAAGCCAAACCTGAACCAAGGCAGGAACCTGAACCAAGGCCAAGGAGGAATGCTGCTTACTGGCTTGCTTCCTCATTCAAGCTCAGAAGTTGTCTTATACAGCCCATGCCCACCTGCCTGGGGATGGTACCTCCTGTCCATGGTGGGTTGGGCTATCAAGAATCCCCCATAGGTATTCCCCCAGGACAGAGTGATGGAAGAAATCCTTCACTATAGGTTCCCTCTTCCCAGATGTGTCACTTTAACAACAAAGATTAACCATCACAGCAGGACCTGAGACTGCACTCCGCAACTAATGTTAAGTAGAGAAAAAATTTAGGCAGCTTGATTATCCGCTCACAATTGTCCAAAACACAGATAGATAGGAAGAAACAGAGTATAGTACCAGGGTTTTTGTTGCATAATTAAACAATTACCATGCATTTTCTCATTTAACCATTATCAATACAGTGTTGGTCAGGTGTGGTGAGTGTATCAGGCATCCTAGAAAGAAATAAAAGCCAGCTCAAACGGGGCAGTTGGTGGGTGTGATGAAGAGATATTTATGATACTGGGCAGGTTAAAGAGAGAAAATGGGTTTGGAGCTTCCTGAGCATGAGATGGAGTCTTCCAAGGAAGGACCTAACAATAGCTGCATCCCATTTAACTGGGAAGGAGTCTGGGAGACAAGTACATCAATCTTACCTTTTTCCTTCCCTCTGATTTTTGGTAAATGTATCTCTCTTAACAAAATCCAACTTGAGACCAGGAGACCAAGGACTCTATGAATAGGGACCCGTTAATGTTAGCCTCGGGTAAGCGTTGAACAGGGTTAAGAAACAAACAGAAAGAGCACAGGGTGGGCAAAGACAGGATCTCTGAGAGAGCTACTGCATGCAATTTTACAGGTGACACAGCAGAGACTCTCCTAGGCTGTGTCTTTTGCTCCAAATCACACTGAGAAGCAGTGACCGACCTGACTTGGAGAAGCTGCTACATGTTCCATGAAGCTGCATCATCATCCTCATAGCAAGGAAAAGGAGCAAGGAGAGTAAACTTTGCAACTGGCGGTCCAAACAGGAGCTCCTAAGGTTCAAAACTCTGAAAAGTAAGGGCATCTAAAGATGTGATGGAAGAAGAAAGGGGAGTGAATTAAGGATTGTAGATCCTCAGTTTGTTCCTCAGTTTCCTTTCTATTAAAAAGTTATGTGAAGCCGGGTGGGGTGGCACACGCCTGTAGTCTCAGCACTTGGGAGGCAGAGGCAGGGGGATCTCTGTGAGTTCAAGGCCAGCCTGGTCTACATAGTGAGTTCCAGGCCAAGTGGGGCTACAGGGAGACCCTGTCTCAAAAAGACAAAAACAAACAAAAAAGTTATGTGATAGTATTATAGAAGACACAGGATTTATATCCTTACTAGCCTGAAACCTAAGGATTCTTCGCTGAAATGATGATACTTATTAATGTTTTGTTGAAAATATTCTTCAGATGCTCAGTGTGGAGATTTGAAGCTGTAACATTTACATTGGCAATATTGAACCCCATTTTCAAGGTAACCAAATTGTTTAAGCTCATCAAAGTAAACAAGTGCATTTCTGTTTGTGGACATTTTTTTGGTAATTATGTGTAGAATCCTATACCGAATACAGGGTTGAGACCCTGATGTATAATTTGACCTCTTCTTGAAAAGTATGATAAGAGAAAAGCAAAGTAAAAAGCATAATTGAAAATAGTTCATAAAAGTGGGCAGCCACCGTAAAATTTAAAAGTATTACACTAATACAGTTTGACCCAATCTTTTTTTCTTTCAATTAATTCAATACTTTCTCTCATTAATTTGCAGTAGGTTTTGATGATCATTTATTGTTATAAAAATATAAATATAAAATATAAAAATCTTAGTTCAAGTTTGGAAGTAATGCTTGATTTCATCTCATCTAACATAAAAATGTTAGTGAGATGGGGCTGGAGAGATGGCTCAGCAGTTAAGAGCACTGACTACTCTTGCAGAGGACCTGGGTTTGATTGCCATCTCCCACATGGAGGCTAACAACTAGTCCATAATTCCAGTTCCCGGGGAATCTGACACCCTCTTCTGACCTCCTTGAGCATCACATGACACAGGTGCACTTACATACATGCACTCATACACATAAAATGAAAAAAATAAAATATTTTAAAATAACATAAAAAATTTAGAGTATTTCAAAACTTTTGTTTTCAGTGTTATTACATATTCTTTGATTGGCATTGAAAACACCAGGCTTCGGGTATATAAAAACAAATGATCTTGGGAGATCCTATAAGATAAATGGGGTTCCCTGCCCTCCTAGCAAGGACTGTTTCCAGAAGCTGGGGGTATAGCTTAGGTAGAAACTTGTTTAATATCTGTGAGGCCTGGGTTCAATTTCCAATGTGTGTATGTGTGTGTGTGTGTGTGTGTGTGTGAGAGAGAGAGAGAGAGAGAGAGAGAGAGAGAGATTATTTCCAGCTAATACCCCCCAAAGCCTCCACAATCATCTCACCAAGCACTATAGTTCTAGGCTACTACCATCTGCCATTTCTACTTTGAAGCAAACCAACCCTCAAGCAGATAAGAACTGGGTACATTAGTAGTCTATCTTGAAGATTCCTGTGCATTTTTCAATAGTAAATCCTTGTTAAAATTCATTTTCGTGAGAGCTATTTTTGTGATTGCTTTCCCCGTTGTCTCTAGTTTGCTCAGTTTGGGGGATCTCTTTGTGTTTTCTTCTTCCTATTCCCTTGCATTCCTTCCTCCAGTTTCATCCAGAACAACCCATCATTATTTGGCGCTTTGGACTTGCTGAGTCCAGCCCACCAGGCAGCTAGAGCCCAGGCACAGCTTCCCGAGCTCCTAGGCCCTTGGGGTGGTAGGGGGTGGGAAGGGTAAGGTTGCATTGAGGCATTTACACCTAAGTCCCAACTATGGTCACTTACTCCTGTGTGATCCAAGATGCACTGCTTTGTCTGGCTATTAGGGTTTTGTTGCTGTTATACTGGGTCACTAATAATCACTACATCTTTTGGTTGCACCTTTAAATACTGTGATGCATTTAAAATGCTAAGAGTACCTCATGGACTGTAATTGCTTTAACAAATTCTTATCAGGTCTGTCTCTGTGCTATAGGTTCCAGCATATTCAGTGATCTTTCTTAATTTTGAGTTATCTATGATAAGATCAAATAAGGACTTTGTCATGATTTGAATGTATCAAATGTTGGGGGGGTCCCTCTTTTAAAAAAAAAACTATTTTATTTTACTTGTGTATATGTGTGTGTGTGTGTGTGCACATGGTACAAGTGCCTACAGAGGGCCAGGAAAGAGTGTCAGATCCCCTGTAGCTAGAGTTACAGGTGGATGTAGGCCACCCTATGGGTGCTGAGAACTGAAATTCAGTTCTCTGCAAGAGTACATGCTGTTAACCAATAAGTCATCTCTCCAGCCAAATACTGAGGGTTTAATTTTCGAATTTCTCTGTTGTCAGTATTTGGAGGTGGTGCCACCTGGAGGTTATTAGGATTTGATGACATCATGAGAATAGTGCCTCATTTTGGTTTTAGCATCTTTATTAAAGGAGAAATCTTTCCCTGTGATACCAGATGCCTAGATGATTCAATACCATGCTCTTCAACTTATCAATCATCAAACAAGCTTCTAGTCTTTATAAACTACTTTATAAACTACTGCACAGGTATTTTGTTACAGTAACAAAAAATCGAGAGCATTGTTTCACTTAAAAAAAAAGCTTAGGAAAGAAGTTTTTCATAAACTTGCCCTAATTTCATTATTCTTTTAAAACATAAAGTAAACACATTAATAAGTGCATATAATGTCATTTCAAGTAAGACAGATAGATTGATTATAGATTGGCTTCTCCATGGCAAGTGAAAATAGTGCCTCTGGCATAAAAATTCTATTTTTTTCCTTAGAGTTGAAATTAGCAAATATTTTTGCATTTAATCAATTGTGTCTGTGTGTTTGTGTGTGTGTGTGTGTGTGTGCGCACGCGCGCGTGCACGTGCATGCATGAGTATGCTGCAGTGCACTTGTGGAGGTCAGAGGACAACAGTCAGTTTACTCCTTCTACCATGTAAGTTCTGAGGACCATACTTAGATTGTCAGGCTTGTTGGAATGCATCCTTGCCCACTCAGCCATCTCCCTGTCCTGTAAATATCTTTTGTTTAACATAATCATATGCACACTCAATAATGATTTAGGCATTATTAATTAATTCCTTGTGTGTAAGCCAATATCTCAAATGTGTTCTGAGTAGTATGTCTTGATTTAAAACTAGATTTATATGATAAATTTAGTAATTTTTATCTATAAACCTCCTGGGTCACAGTTCATCACTGAGGAAGCCCAAGGTAGGAACTTAAAAGTGAGAGTCTGGACAGAACCCAAAACAGTAATGATACATTCAAAGGAAAGAAAAATATGTTATAATTGTAGTTTTAAAAATATTTCCCTTTAAGGCAATATTCTGTGATATTAGATGTGTGGAAAGCATTAAACCTGCCAGGAATAGTGGTACACTTCTGTAATCACAGCCACTTAGGAAGCTGAGGCAGTAGAATTGCAAGTTTGAGGCCTGCCTGAGTTTAAGCTAAACCTGGATTACATACTGAGACCATATCTTAAATTAAAAATAGAAAAGGACTGGGATTTTAGTTAAATTGTAGAGTACTTGCCCGCCATTCACAAGGCTCTTTAGAGCATTGCTGGTACCCAAACAAGGACCCCTCCCACTGAGGAAAAAAAACATGCCAAAACTAAAAATAGTTAAAAGCACAGAATTTTCCTCAGGTTAACTCTCCAGTGTGGCAAATGATAGGCAGGTGATTAAAGGGTGTCTACTCTTCATAATGATTGTATGGGAAGATGGGGCGGGTCAATATATTGTTGTCCATGCTTAAGAATGTGTCAAACTTTAGTTTTCAATAAAATTAATTTCAGTTAATTCATATCACTTACTGCCTATTAATAGAATGTTTTTTGCAGTTAATCATAGTGTGCTATGGACAGACCTGAAACTAATTTAATAATCCAGCAAGAGTTAATAATGAGGAGCTAAGGAGAGGAAGAAGGAAGGAAACAAAAAGAAAAGTCCCCTGAATTCTGTGATTTGTAAGTGCAAGGAGCTTAAAATAGAGTTGTGGCTCTGGGAGATGAATGGATGGTGGTATGAACTGGAAAATACGGGCCTTGGAGGAGAAATGGAGGTAGTACAACTGTTTAAGATTCAAGTAGATAGATGTCTCTTATTTGGGAAGAAGTCTGAAATTAGAGGGAAAAATGATACTAGAAATATGTATTTTGGAACTATCAGGACGTTGACAGTAACCAGATCCATGGAGAAAATAATAATACACAAAGAAAACTTGCCAGATGTAGCGAGAAGAAGCTCCTGCCCTGGAGAATTCATGAAAAAATACCTGTTTTGTTTAGTCTGTTGGTTGTTAACTGACACTGTTAAAACAGTGGTAAAAAATCTTTAAAGCTTTAGTGCTTCTTATGATACTAAACGTAAAGCCTTCAATAAGATGACTTCATTAAAATAAATCAAAAAGACATTCTTAAGCCTGGGATTATAGTTTAGTTTGAGTGCCTACTTAGAATACTCAATGCTCTTTTATCGATCCCCTGCACTGGAAAAAAATTTAAAAAAAATATTCTAAGGTACTCACAGGGAGTCTGGAATGGAAGAAAATCTAAAATCATTTTTCTACCTTTACTTCATGGACCTGGTCATGGAATCAAGGATTTGAATCTTTCCTTAGCCTGTCTGCATGATGGTAAAATATTACCCAAGTATTTCATATCATTTTGGAATCAAACCATGAAGAAAGGAATCTTTCTTCTACAAAGAATAATACTGGTAATTAATCTAGAATAAGGCACTCTTTCTGATTATTTGAGGATTGAGAGGAAGGAGAGAATTGAGGTGACTCACCATTGTCCAACACAAATGTTGGCCAGTTCTCTGGAAAGACGTTGAAGCCATCTGAGACATTCCTCTCTACCATGTTTTAGAACATGGCTACAAGTTCATTTAGCTTTTGATCATTTTAAATTCTACTTAATTAAAAAGAAACAGGTCAATATTGACTATAGAAAACAGTCTTACAAGCTTCTGGGAACTGGCTCATATAAACTTACAGCAATGGTGACACCTCTGAATGTTGCATTGGGCATCAAAATGTTCAACACATGAGTTTTAGGGAGACATTTCTTTTCCAAATTGTAACACATTGATTTAGATACACAGCCGTAGACAAAACCAGCATAGGCAAGTTTGGAAAGGTCCCAGAGGGACACCAAGTCTTTCCTGGTTAACTGTTCTCTAGCTGAGAAATAAAGGGAGGTAAAGTGAAACAAGGGAAGCAATCAGAAGGGTGTAACTCAGCTGAGAGAGCAGCTAAGATTAGAGCTGGAGAGTTTCCATTGCTGTATGTTGAAGGGCTCATCTGCCTAGGCAAATGTGTAAAGTACTGTCCTGGGATTTATTCTGTTTCCATGTCAGAAGATAGAACCAAATTCAAGGTGGCATCAGATGTTATCCATGTGTTAGCCATCTTATAGAGATGGGGAAAGGAATTTTTTTCATTGGTAAATGTTTACCTACAAATCTTCTTGACTCCTGAAAATCCAAGATTCTGTTACAGTAGTTAAGAGCATCCCAATTTTGATTTGTCAGCAGATCTTAGTAGAAGACTTTCTGCTCTACTTTCAGGTCACCCCTTAGTACAAGTGGCATATACACATATATGACGCTATGTACATGGAATGGTAATCAGGCCCATTTTAGAAGCCTATTGTGACCTGTACCCTTACAGGTACGTAGACTTTGCCCTAGTCACAATGTGCAGATAAACTGAGCACATCTGGTTAGTATTTCATTTTGCCTTTTGTCTTTTAATTCAGACTAAACATTAATATAAGAAGTTTTGATAATAACCCGTGAACTTCATCATTTTTAAAAGGTAGTGTAGCTCTCTTCCTGTAGTGTCACCATAGCAACTGACAAGGAGCAGAGAAAGAAAGCTTTCACACATGCTGTGCTAATTAATCCTGTCCTACAGTTTTCCTTCAGCTGGAAGATGCAGTTTAATAAATTTTGCATGAGTAAGCAGGTTTTGATTCATGAACCTTACAAATACATATTGTTGTCTTTACCAAAAATATTTGGGAAAATGTAGATAGAAAATCATAGTTGAAGGATTTTTTTTTAAAAAAAATGTTTTGAGCCATTGTTTAAATAATTTGATCATTCCTGAAAAAAAATTTAGGATTTTTCTTACTAAATAGAAACATTTTTAGGGTGAACGTCGTTTGCTCATCAGTATATAGACCACTTTCAGAAATAGCAGCTTTTAATTGACTATCTTAAAGTGAGATGATGAGAGAACTTTTCTCAAGTGATGTGGAAGACTGTATCCTGAAGGCATAGTCTTAATTTCTATATAACACATTTACATTCAAATCATTTTTCAAAACTTGTTTCTTTTTATACTTTGAAAAGTTCGATATTGAAAACTCATTTTTACTGTTGCTTTGGGAAGCTTTATAGCCCACCTGAATGAAGTTGGGGCGCTCTTTAACCTAAGCATGTGAGAAGGGAGAAAATAAGTAGTGTAGACTAAGAACTTCTGTTTGTAATTTCCACAAATACTTGACCAATTTAATAACTAACATATGGTCTGAAATCATATAAAACTATTTTAATTTAGATTTTATCTAGAGCAATTTGAAGTCCTAGTTTTTTCTTCACAACTCAGTATGTCACTTTACTTTTAATAACTAACGTGATCATCTGAATTGTCAAAGAAAATCCATTCTCTTATCTCTGTCCTAGCTGTCTGACAAGAAGGCCTCAGGAGAAACAAAGAAATGCGGCCTGGGTGTTTTTTGCATTCCATTTGACTTGACAGCAACATATGGGATGAGTCAGAAACTATTTCAGAATCTCTGCTTAGGTCTTTGGTCTCTGTTTGAATGTTTAGTCATTTGAGGAACCACACCTTTGATGTGATTACCACATTCTGGAGCCATGTTCCCATCCTCATGATCTGATGTGTATTAGGAGTTTTGCATAAGTTGAGGTATGATAAAACCTTGCAGAGAAAAGAAGAAAGAAGTTACTGTGAAATCTGATTGGAAATAATTCTATTTTTGTGCAGAAATATTGCATAACGCAAATTATGTATGTCTGTATGTTTATTTTAGTTTTGAATTTTGTTTTGGTTTGAGACAGGGTCTCCCTGTAGCCTCAGCTGTCCTGGAATTCACTATGTAGACAAGGCTGGCTTCAATCTCAGAGAGTCACTTGCCTCTGCCTCCCAAGTGCTGGACTGAAAGGCGTGTGTTACCTTGCCCAGTGTATCTGTACATTTTAGTAAGGAATATTTAAAAACAATAACTAATTTAATGTGTCATCAAATTATTACAAAATCTGTACTGCAGGAAAAAAATTGAATATCATGATAGTTGAATCCCTTAGCAATTCTTTGTCTTACCAACTGCCCTATTAATTTAAAAAATTACATGTGTTACAGTAAATGAAATGCTATGGTTAATAAACAGGAAAAAGTCTTGATTCTTACCTCTAATTGTAATAGATCATTTCAATGAAAATGTTAAAGTGGTTCATGACAAAAACTGTTTTGTGTGTTTTGAGCATCATAATAAAAAACAATACTTTATGGTATTGGTTTGTAACATCGCTGTGAAAAAGTACTGGAGATGATCAACTTAAAAGACGGATTGGTTTATTTTTGTTTGTGGTTTCAGAGGTTTTAGTCCATAGTTGGCTCTGTTGCTTTTGAACCTATGGTGAGGCAGAGCAACATAGGGCAGAGCTTATGGTGGGACAGAGCTACTCACCTCAGAGAGAGAGTCCAGTACCTTGATACCCCATCAAGAGCATGCCCAGTGAACCAACTTCCTGTGCTAGGCCCATCCTGAATGATCTGTCACCTGCCAGCCACACACCAGGCCCAAGAGCTAGCCTTTAACACCTGGGTCTTTAAGAAACATTGTGGATTTAAAATATAACATTTGTCCTTGATGGCATAACCAGGTAGTGATCTAGCACAAGTCATTTTCCTTTTACAAATAACATTATGATTTTGTAAGCTTTAAAATATTTAGAGGCTCAGTTGTTGAGAACAGGTACTGCTCTTGCAGAGGACCTCTGTTTGGTTGCCAGTACCCACGTCAGGTAAACCAGGTTTCGGCACCACCTGATAGGTAAAGTAGCCAATAGATGAATCCGGTTGATCAGGAGAAAGCACCAGGACGCAGATAAAACTCCGGTGGAATAGAGTTTGTCAGCAAAGGAACACATGAGACAGATTCCCTTCCGGGTAAGGAAAATGTCTACCCCCAGGTTGTATGCTGGGGTCTTTTATAGGAGGAGGCTTCTGGGAGGATGCAGGAGGCGGGAAGATATATTTTTCAAAGGTTGTGGGGCAGGGGAGTGGGAGAGCGGGACTGTTAAAACCTGGACTGTTAAAACCTGCCCTCTTTAGAGATCAAAGGGGAAGCCTGCTGTGTTGGCCAAACAGTGGAGAAAGGTCTGCTTCTCTGACTTCAAAGACCAGGGTGCTTATTAACTCAGTTCCCTTTTTTCAGGGGCTTGCTAGGTCCATGAGGCCCTGCTGGTGAGGGGGTGGGGCCATCTGAACCCTAACATCAGGCTGCTCACAACAATCTGTAACTCCAGTTTCCAGGGATTCGACTCACTCTTCTGGCATCTGTGGGCATCTGAGTTCATGTGCATATACAGACACATGCATACACATAATTTTTAAAAATTAGATAATCATTACATAGAAGCTGATGAAAATATTCAGAAAAACTTACAAAATTATTTTTAAAAATGTAAGGGGGTAGGCTGGAGAGGTGGCTTTGCATTAATAGTGCTTGCTGCTTCTGCAGAGGACCTTTTAGTTCCTAGCAGGTCAAATTGCTTCTTCACCTATAGCATATGATTATTTTCCCACTCTAATTTATTATATCATATCTGATCTCATCCTCAATATATACCAGATTTGACTATTCCTTTATAATTATATAGCTCATTGGTTTTAACTGAACTTCCTCAATATGCATTCCCTAGTGAGTGTTTGAGAAACACTAAAATCACAAGAAGTTTTTATCTGCTCTTTGAGAAAAGTGCTGTACTTTCTTCTTACAGATTCACAGTACACATATGAAAAAATGGTAGCATGTGCTGGGCGTGGTGGCACATGCCTTTAATTCCAGCACTTGGGAGGCAGAGCACATGGATCCTGTGAGGATGAGGCCAACCTGGTCTGTACAGTGAGTTCTCTGTCTCAAAATATCATACCAAAACAAAACAATAAAATGGTAGCACTGATAAATTTCAGTTTGGAGAATTTAGCTTTCTTCTTTCTAATTTATTTGTTTGTTTGTTTATTTATTTATTTATAGACAGGATCTTACTATATAACCCCAGCTGGCCTGGCTTTCCTCCAACTCACAGAGACAGATCTGCCTACCCCTTCTTTTTTTTTTTTGGTCTTTTTTAAACCAGGGTTTTGTAGCCCCAACTGACCAGGCTGGCCTTGAACTCACAGAGATCTGCCTGCCTCTGCCTCTGCCTCCCAAGTACTGGGATTAAAGGTGTGCACACCACATTTGGCAAAGCCTAGCTTTCTTTTCTTTTTTTCTTTTTTTAGCTGAATTTTTTTGAACATCATACAATTTATTTTGATCATATTTAGATCCTGTTCCCTATCTGTGCCCCCTCTTAGTTACCCCCTGCCTGATTTCATGTACTGTGTCATATATTGAGACTCATTGAGTCAAATTTGTATCTCCAAATGCCCCTCAGTGTAGGTCCATCCATCAGAGCTTGGTTAACCTTTCCAGCATCACATTCTTAAAGAGAACCGACTCTCCCTCTCCCAGCAGCATTGGTTACCTATAGTTCCTGAGCTTGGGTTGGGGCTTCTTACCTACTTCGTCACTTCTGTGTTGGCACTTTGTCCAGCTTGAGCTAATGTGGGTCTTGTGCATACTATCATCATTGCTGTGAGTTCATATGAGTAACTGCTCAGCTGTCTCGAAAATTCACCTTGTGGTCATCCACCACCTCTGGCTCTTACAGTCTTTCCACCCCCTCTTTCACAATGATCTCTGAGCCTTAGAGATTTGATATAGATGTCCTATTCAGGGGCAAGCACTCTGGAGTCTCTTAATCCCTGTACATTCGCCAGTTGTGGGTCTCTGTGTTAATTGCCATTTGCTGCATGAGGAAGCATCTCTGGTGAGAATTGAGAGATGCATTATGTGTTTAACAGTAAGTTATTCAGAGCTTTCTTAATAAATCTCTTCTATAAGTTGTTTGAACCCTACTGATAAGATTCAGAAATTTAAATCTCTCATAACTAGAGTTCCACAAAATAACTTTGGTTTTTTTTGTTTGTTTGTTTGGGTTTTTTGTTCTTTTTTTTTTTTGTTGTTGTTGTTGTTTGAGACAGGGTCTTCCTGCAGCCCCAGCTGTCCTGGAACTCTCGAAGTATGTAGACCAGGCTGGCCTTGAACTCACAAAGATCTGCCTGCCTCTGCTTGCCTTTGCGTGCCTCCAAACTGCTGGGATCGAAGGTGTGCGCCACCATGCCTGCCCACAAAATAACTTTGAAATAGCTAGGAGATTTCTAAGATTTCCTCTTATATCTAAAAATTTGCATATTTTTTGTTTAGTCTAGTGATACTTTATTAGATTTGTCACACTAATGGTTTATTTGCAAATGTAAATTGATTTGATGGTTATTAGTATGTGCTAAAAACATAGAGACCACATATGTTCTCCTCAGCTTTTGTGTTAACCATGACTTTGCATTCATGATCCTATTTGCAGTAGTGTTGTTTGACCATTTTAAACTGTGAATATTCAAATTTAAAGCATATGTTCTATTAATACCCATTTAACTTCTTTATGTTTCCTATAACCCACAGGTCTTGCAAGAGCAAAATCTGTCCCTAGCCACACATACTCCAATGAAGTGGTTACCTTGTGGTACAGACCTCCAGATGTCCTCCTGGGCTCCACAGAATATTCCACCTGCCTTGACATGTGGTGAGAAATACATGCTTTCCTCTAGCTCATCTGTGTACTGTGCTTGGTCTGGGTCAGACCTGTACAAACACCCTAACAGTTTGGGTGAAGATTAATGGTTGCTTGTGTGTGGCAATGCTGCTGGATCTTTAAAACATGATTGGGAATGCTACCTCATCAGAGCTGCTGCACATGATGTCTGGTAGTGGTTCTTGATGGACAAGGTCAGAGGTATTTTCTGTCAGTACTGTGGATTTCTCTGTAACGGTCTTAATTTGTGGCTTTATTTTGTAACGAGGAAGTGTAGATCTCCAAAGAGTAAAATAAGTTAACAGGCACCATGTTTAGATTTACAACCAGGGTCTGGTAATTGGTCTGAAATTTTTGAGGTGACTATTAGGTAATAAACTGATTTCCAGCATTCTTCCTGAAAACTTTTTATGCCAATCATCTGAAATGAAGCACCATGAATTTTAAACCATAGAATAATTTTTAGGACAGTATCTCTTCATGTATTGGCTTATCAGAGATTAAATATCTTTTATAAAGTGTCCAGTGACTGGCAGTATTTGATGGATACTATTAATAATGACAAACTACATTCCCAATTAAGTGTGGCATAGCTGTCATAATCATATAAGGAGGATGAGCTTATTCTTAGCACTCAGAAGAGGGTCATTTGTTGAGCATGCCTTTTATTCAGAAAATTGAAAAGACACCCTTTTCTAGATTCATGATTGGGAAGTAAAATAATTTATGTAGCTCATGGCTATTTTATAGCAGAAGTCATCATTCTTGAATGATTCTGCCTCTGTATTCAGAGTTTAGCTACATGTTTATAGAGTGTTTGTGGCTCAGTAAAACTTCAGTGTGATATTTATCTTCTTCTTGTACTTATTTACCTCTCTGTCCCCAGGAATCTTGGCTTTTAGGAATTAGGCACTAATGAGGTCTGGCTTCCTCCCTGATCTGTTTCATCCAAAAAGCTACAATAAGAAAATAGTCAAGTTCCCTGCAATGTATGATGCAGAGATTTTCATAATTTGGGTTCTAGATAGCCCCTTGGTATGGGATTTGGAGCTCTCTAAGAGTCACTGAAAATAGCTACAACATTTTATGAACATGTAGCTATCTTTGTAGGCTATTCAATAAAGCTTTAAAAGAATCTAGTCTATCAAACATCATAAGTTCTGTTAGTATACATTTCATGATGCCTTATAATAAATTTAATCACATTTTAATGAATTCTAAAATACCCCCGAAAGATTACCATCTATCGGCAAGTCGCAGAATTTATCCATCTTCATCACACTTTTTGGTTTTTCATTATTAATAGTTATTTAATCTGTGTAGTTAGTTTTCTCCTAACAATAGACATGCCTTTAGGCAGAATGGATATTTAAATCATTAGTTGCAATGAAGGAAAAGTTGGGAATAAAGGCCAGAAAATAAACCAGGTATCAGTTAGTGATCTTCCTAATCCCTGCTGCTTTCTGCCTTTAGTTAAAAGTTGGTTGTGCAAGTAATATTTAAATACATCATACTCTTGAATTATGAAGTGTTTCTCCCTCCCTCCTTGCATGTGGAAATTCTAACTTGTCTTTCAATAAGTTCAGCTAAGGACTCTGCTAATAAAACATAGTTTGGAAATATTTGCAGTGAGCCAGTTTTGTTTTAGTTGCTTGGCAATTTAGTCAAAATTATACCGTCATAATTGTAAGAAGACGTTTGTAATGTATTTGTAGCTAAATTACCCTAAACCTTTTAAAATGCTCTTTAAGGGGCTAGGGATATGGTCCCAGTCCTAAAGTGCCTGGAAATAGGAAGACCTACATTTTTATCCCCAGTAAAAGCTGGGCATGGTGGCTCATGTCTTTAACTCAAGAACTGGGGATGTGGAGATAGGTAGATCCCTAGAGCTCAGTGGCAAACCATCTTAGTCAGATCAGTGAGCTCCAAATTCAGTGAGAGAACTTTTCTCAAAACTTAAGGTGGATAGGGGCTGGAGAGATGGCTCAGCAGTTAAGAACACTGGTTGTTCTTGCAGAAGACCCTGGTTCGAATTCCAGCACCCCCATGGCGGCTAACAACTATCCATAATTCCAGTTCCAAGGGATCCAATACCCTCTTCTGTCCTCAGTGGGTACTGCATGACATGAGTATACTTATACACATGCAAGCGATATACATAAAATAAAAATAAATTTAAATTTTTTTTTAAAAGTTAAGGTAGAAAGGGATTGAAAAAGGTAACATTGACTTCTGGCCTCTGTACACACATGCACACAAACCCACACATATATACAACGCCACACACACACACACATACACATGCACACGCGCGCGCACACACACACACACACACACACACACCAGTGCTCTTTTAAGAGACTGGGGTTATGGTGTAGTTGGGACTAGCAAGCATGAGGACCTGAGTTTGATCCCCACAACCCATGTAAAAAAGTTGAGGATGGTGCTACATGCTTGTAATCCCCACTCTGGGGAGGCAGAGACAGGAAGATCCCTGAGGCTCACTGACAGTCTAGCCTACTTGGAGAGGCCCTGTTTCCCCAAGACCAAAAGGTAAATGGCTTCATGAGGAGCAAAACTAAATGAAACTGGCCTTTAGTGTCCATGTACACACACACATACCACACACACACACACAGAGAGAGAGAGAGAGAGAGAGAGAGAGAGGAGAGAGAGAGAGAGAGAGAGTGAATTCTTTTAAAGTACAAAGAGCTATGACTTTCTAATTTGTCTGTTTTTGATATACAGTGTTTATTTTCTACTATGTCCTATTCCACTCCCTACCTCCTGTGTGTGTGTGTGTGTGTGTGTGTGTGTGTGTGTGTGTGTGTGCTCTTAAGGAAGATGGTGGTTTGGGCACTTTCTGCCAATTCACATTGAATAGAGCTGTAATAAAAGCTTAATAAGACTGTTATTTAAGAGGAAGAGAGAAAAACCGATAGAAAATAGTAGACCCCAAATGTCCTTTTGTCCCCATGCCAGGATTATTCATTGCCAAAAGCAAATAGCAAATGTGTTAGGGTTGAACAGCTTCCCACACTTATTTTCAGTTTACTTCCAAGCCCTAAAATCCAAGTTATGTCTATGCTATGCCTGTCAGTCTGAATCTAATTTCATTCCAAGCAATTTTCTAAAAGCTGTTTTGCTATTTTGCTATAAGTCGGGTAAAATGTATGTGTTTTTCCTGTGAGAGAGAAGTTCACAGGGCACTGATTTTTGCATAATCAATGACATCTATGCTGGATATTCAGACGCCTAGAAATGGGATTGTAATTGAGTCATGGCTCAGCTGCACCAAAGAGAAATACAAATATTAACCCATGGACAGCAGCAGGAGGCAGGTGGCAGGAGTTTCAGGCTATTTTTACAGTTCATTTACCATCCTGGGGCTGTAGGGTAGTAACTAAAAACTGATGATCCCTGCACAGTGTTAAATAGCCACAGGCAATCAAAATATTAATGAAGACACATATGCAATAACATTGTCAGCTAGTGATGGAAATCAGAGCTGGCACTGTTACGAGCTACTCCTGCAGCTCTCCAGCACCACAGAGATGTGTGAATGAACACACTGTGTGACTTGAAAACTCACCAAGAAAGACAGTTTCCATACCTTTGTTTCCTTTTGTAAGTGAAGATCTAAGGTGAGGAACAGAACTGAACAATATCTCTTGTAAAAACTTCTCTCGCTTCTTGAATTTTATAGCTCTTTGAAAGTCAAAGCATAGAAAAATTACTGCTAAGCTTCTAACCCAGAAAAGCTTACCAGGTTCTGAAAACCACATAAAGAGAAACCCTGGTGTAAGAAGCCGCTTATCTGTGTGCAGTTCTTCCCTTGCTAGAGCATGCTGCTCTTGATGTTGAGTTTGTTGCACCAATTAAACTTTGTATTCCAGGATAGAAGCCTGACAGTGTATTGACAGCAGCAAATATTTTCTGACAGCAACAATTTTCAGAAAATTGTTGGGGATTCTTTTAAGGGATTAATTTTTAATATCAGGTAACTAAATTATCTATTGCTAATTAGTGATTATCTCATCAAGGACATTGTGCTATTGGGGGAGAGCTTGTGGTATTAACTGCAGAGCCCCCAGCACAGTTTGTGAAGAATGAGAGTATGCCAGGCACTTCCTGTCATCATCTTTCTTAAAGCTAATTAACATATTAACTATGCTTGTCAAATGCAGGGCAATCATTTATAAATAAGCCTGTCAAATGTAATGAGACTGCATATTAAATCACCCCTTCCCTATTACACCTCTGATTTAAGATTAAAATTAATTTAACATCATAGCAGCTGGATGGTTATAAAAAATTTCCATACTAGTCTTAAGGTATAGGAAAATGTCTGTCTTAAAATTGATTTCTTTATATGCTAGAAAGCTTATTGCCTATTCATTTAACATTGCTTTTTTTGTTTGTTTTGGGGTTTTTTGTTTGTTTGTTTGTTTGTTTTTCTTTTTTGTCGTTTTGAAACAGGGTTTCCCTGTAGCCCCAGCTGGCCTAGAACTTACTATGTAGCCTAGGCTGGCCTTGAACTCCCAGAGATCCACCTGCCTCTGCCTCCCAAGTGTTGGGACTACAGGCATTCGCCACCATGCCTGGCTCTTAGCATTGCTTTTTATTACATAAGCTTAATGACCATTCATATTGGAAGTATCCAGTGTTCTAGTGTTCTGCCATCATCATTACTGATCTTTCTGTCTTGAACCAAGGCAATTTATATAATAAAATTGCTTAGGGCTGAAGCTTTTTTATTATTGTTTCTGGGCTTTGGTTTTCTTTCTTTCTTTTTTTTTTTTTTTTCTTTTCTTGAGACAGGGTGTCTCGCTGTAACCCCAGCTGGCCTGGAACTTACTATGTAGACCAGACTGGCCTCTGATCTGCCTGTCTCTGCCTCCCAAGTGCTAGGACTAAAGGCATGAGCCACCATGCCCCACTTTATTTACCATTGTTTTAACAGAGACCCGTAAATGAACCTTGCTACATTC